CACCCAGTAACAGTTGGATAATGATTATAATATGGTTATATATAGCACTTAAAAGGACCCCTAATATAGACTGTTACTGGGTGGGGGCAGTACCCAACCTAAACCCTACACCCCTAAACCTTAAACCTTAAACCCTAAACCCCGAACCCTAAAGGGTTAGGGTCTAGGGCACCTGACAGAGCTTGGGGCTTCTGCGGCACGGCATGCTGTCCAAACCTGAACTGTAACTAAGGCCTTGCCTTTACAAGGCCAGGGGTTTAGGGTTTAGGGGTTTAGGGTTGTTGTCAACATGATGGGTCCCTTTTGGTTATAGATTATATTGCAGCACCTAATATCTAGGGGTACCAAAATGGGGCCCTAATTTTTGGAACTACCCATCTGGATGTATCTACTTAGAATCTGCTTGTATACCTAAACCCTAAACCCTAAACTACCACACCTGTCAAGGACCCAGTTGCAGCCGCACAATTTTCAGACCCGCGTGGGAGGCACACAGCTTGGGTCTCTGACTCGTCTTGCCATGAAAGGTGTTTCTAAGGACTTTAGGAGGGACCCCTAATAGGGACCCTTGTAGCTTATGGGGGTTAATATGGGGAGTACCTAGGGATGTCCTCCTAAAGTCCCTAGAGTGTTTTGAAGATAGCCAAGCAAGCTAGTTCAGAGTTGGATGTAGCAGGGGGGGGGGGGATCAATTACAATGCTGCATGATGCAGCTAAACAGCCTTGCTGGAGACAGGTCCCGCAGCAGTCTGGGCATTGTTGCTTTCTCACGCTTTTGCGCTGACGGTCCTGTGGAGAGAATGTATCGCGGGCACAGCTTGTCGAACACCTTCGAACCTCGGCGCAGCAAAGCGTGATATGCAATGTTGTTGCTGGCTTGCTCCTCAGTGACAATAAGAGTACTATTAACAGCAGCAAAATAATATTAATAATAACAATAATAATAGTAATAGTAATAGTAGTAATAATATTAGTAATAACAATAGTAATGATTAATAGTAATAAATATCACCGACTTGCTCCTGCCCTGAATTTATTCCAGTTCAACAGTGACTGGAATCAAGTGTAAGGATCAGGGACCTGGTGGCCTTGTCCTGTCTGCTCCATGCAGCAGAGCAAGACAGAAATTCCGAAACGCGGAAGCTGCACAGATGCAATAGCCATGACGGCGTGCACAAACTTCTTTTCTAAACCCTAAACCCTAAACCTGGTGTAGAGGGGTAGGTGTGTGTGTGTGCGCGCGTGTGTGTGTGTGTGTGCGTGTGTGTGTGTGTGTGTCTCTGTGTGTGTGTGTGTGTGCGTGTGTGTGTGTGTGTGCGCGCGCGGGTGTGTGTGTGTGTGTGTGGACCACCTGTTTGCAAAGGTTGCATGTGCAGGGGGCCATTCCACCTACTACCAGGGAA